CACATATTTGTGTTGTACACACATGGGAGGATCCTAATATCATATGGCCGGCCACTATTTCCTTTTGACCCTTTTGAACCCCTCCTAAAATTGGCTTGTTCTCTCTCCTGTTTTAGAGTTTCCAAATTCGAACCACAGGGTTGTGAAGAGGAGACCTGAGAGGCCACCAATATGTGGTGGCCGGCCACTATTTCTACTTGGCCTTTTTGACCCCTAGCCGGCCGGCTAGGGGGGGTGGCCGGCCGGCCACTTCCAAGCCCAATAATAGGCCGGCATGTTCCTTGTGTGATACACTTTACAGCTGTGTAGCCTTTTCCCCCAGAAAAGATCTGTATCCGGGGGATATTTTGTGGGGGAAAGGCTTGGTCCTTTTCCCCCACCCTTTCCTTCCATGCTCCCCCTCCTTTTGGTCTATATAACCAGCAGGTGGCATTGGTGAGAGGGGTTAGAAAAATTGCCTTCAAGCCTTGATACACAAATTCCTCTTCCATCTCTCTCATTTCCTACACTTTACAGCTGTGTAGCCCTTTCCCCCAGAAAATATCTGTATCCGGGGGATATTTTGTGGGGGAAAGTCTTGATCCTTTTCCCCCACCCTTTCCTTCCATACTCCCTCTCCTTTTGGTCCATATAACCAGTAGGCCATGTTTTATTAAGGCGTTGGAGAAAATCATCTTGAAGCCTTGATGCAAAATTCATCCTCCATCTCTCTCATTTCCTTGAAAACCTCCAAGTCCAACACCACCATTTCTTCTACACCACCACCCCCCACCCTTCCATCCTCCATTCCAGAAGTGTGAAGGTGTTCTCCAAGGCCTAAGGAGCCACAAACTCAAGCCAAGAGGCAACCAAAGTCAAGCCTTCAAAGGTAAGTCCACTTTCCCCCTTTTTTGAGCTTATTTTTGTAACATTTCTAAGCCATACATGCTTATTGATTTGAGCTCCGACCAAAACTTAAAAGGTCATTTTTTTGAGCTCGTTTTCTTGTTTCATTAAGGGCTCAACCCTGTTTGAGCCCTCCATATTGCACTTGCTTCAATATCCTCCTTAAATATCGTTTTCTTACATGCTTTGGAAGCCTACCATGCTTTTGTTTTTGGCCATTTTACAGTTCTGGAAATAGTCCTATTTTAGCCCATTCTACATGTTTTATTAAGGGTCTTTGGCCGTTTGTTGAATATTTTGTATACTTTGTGTTATAGCCTCTTTTGAGCCTCATTTTGCATTGCATTTCTAGCATGTTTGTAAACTGTTTTGGAGTTTTTACAGTTCTGTAAATAGTATATATTTTTGGTCCCTCTTCAATGTTGTAGAAGGGAATTTTTCAGTTTGGGCATTGCATATACCACTTGCCTCTTTGGCCACCTTTTGGCCCATTTTCTTGCATAAAAGCTTAGCCATGTCTATGTTTGTTTTTGGG